TGGGTGATCTCGTTCACAAGATGCGCGCGGTGTAAAAGATAATACATTTGCATAAAGGATTATTGGCAAAGAGGAGTGATTTTCCTTATAGTGAATGAGTTGAAGAGGATATTGGAGAAGTTGGCTGCATTTTAACATTACATTGTGCCGTGATCGCAAAATCCGGATCATTCTTACTGGTGACATAATGCTACGATCACTGGCCTACCCAACCGGCTTGAAACCAAATCGCAACCTCTTCATCACACGTGGGTCGGTAAAAATTCGGACGATTGCTCGGCGTTTGTTGTTTTATGCATGGTCACCAACTTCTTTGCTTTTCAAAGGCTTACTTTTCGTTCTTAGAATTGTCCTAATGTTCAGCATTCCGCCTTAGCTCATTACACGTTTACCGCATAACTGGAAGTTTACTGCAAAGATGCTGATCTGTGGTTTTCACGACTAGCAACACAGAGGTGTAACACTGGGCTTTGGAGAACAAATTGTCCAAAGTACTACAGTAAGTGCTACGAAGAATGGTGTGGCTGTGAATAAATACTCCTACTTTTCTTAGCCTCGGCTACAGAAGATGATATGAATTTAGTCGAATCGCCACCATCGCACACGCACTTCTCGTGGATGAGGAAGGAAGGGGAGCATGTTAAACCCCTCACGCGATCCCCGTCCCGGCGTGTCATTAACAACTTCCAGATGCTTCCACAGATGTTCACAACTACTGCAATGAGTAATTTCCGGTGGAGTAGGAAAAACCTGTGTAAGATCATTTGTCGTGTGGCGAGAAAGGGTCTTCATTTCTCGCCCTCAATTATAATTTCCGCCTGCTGCAAATCAGTGTAGATCGGTATGTTCCGTTGAGCAGAGCTGCATGGTTCGGCATACCCTTCTAGCTCTCCTTTTTCCTTCTCGCCTTCTACCTCTACCACGTCAGTTGAGGAAACGCAAAACCTCACCCTTGCACAATTGTATCAAGATGATCGGAAAAGTTCCATTCCAGGGTTGATGATACTCAGCCAAAGTTAAGCAACCACATTACAACCATATGCCTTACCCGTTCATTGAGGATGGGGAGTGTGTAGTGCACCTCCTTGACAATCTTAGCGCAATTACACTTTCTTCCGCAGACATGGCTTTCATCTTAAAAAGGAGTCATTTCGCACACAGTCACTTCCGACCAAAGTGATCCATAGCTGACGCCAAAGTGCATTTGCAGGTGGTGTCAGTAGTGGACTGTTGTGTTTCTCAAATCCGTCTCATGATTCCACTCTTTCTTTACTGGCTAAAGTATATGTTATCAGGCCAAAAGAAGGTCTTCCTCCCCCAATTGGGAGTTACTCCACACCACAAGCATGTCTTTGTTGAATGAGGATCAAGCAGCTCCTTCTACGTTAACATTTCCCACCGCTAAGAATTTTCCCCTATAACCTCTGGTCCTACTCTAATGCATCATTTTCCACGTAATTTGAACTACACAACCACAATTGATTCCTCTCGATGTAAAAAGTCGGCACATCTCTGCTAATACATACGTTGTGATTAGTGTCCCAATCAGACCGAGTCAACTCCTGAACAACATGGCTGGAAGATTCGATTCTCTTTAAGGACACAAGTAAATTTAATCATAGAGCATGCCACATCCACTTTGGAGTTTTATAGAAGGGTGCGTTAAGGGAAGGCTTTCCCTTTTTTCGGAACAGAGTCGACAGTTGATAAAAGCTTAGTAGATGTCAAAGTCAGATTTCATTAAAATCCCTTGCCTTATGGCGAAGTCCTCCCATCAAAGCCTTTTTGCCCATTACAAGTGGTGAATCTAGAAAGAGTCGCCAACCCACATGTTCTACTAATCATCGCGCAGTAAATGAAGAAGATCGGCTGCTTAGAGCAACCAAAATATTTAACTCTATTACAGTTACACCAAATTGATATTTCACTTAAAGGTGATATAATATTGTAGGGAGGTCAAAATTAGTATGCAAATATTACCAAGGCGGAGATTTAGATGAACAGTCGCCCACATTGTGGTAACGCTCATCGTTTCCGAGGAACTTGTGTCGCTTCCAAATTGTGTCTAAACAGGCCCATTCAATTATATCTGCCCAATTTGTGCAGCCACTTGCGTCCTCGTAGAGGCCCCACAGTCGCCAATTCGTAAAAATGGCCGACAATGGGGAGTTTTCAGAGTCATCAAGTCTGCGATAGAAGTCGCAGAGTTGTTCCATTGCTCGTGCCCTGCTACCTCTCACTTTTACTGCAACCACCACAACCAATGTTTGATTGGTTAATAAACTCCTTCCGATCATCTTCAGTGTGGTCGAAACATTTTTCATATCCATGCACCGTTGATAGTCCACAAAATATACAATTGCGTTGGCTTTCCTGATCTTTTTTTTATTGTCTTTTATAAGTAACGTGTTGGAGTACGGTACCATATTGAGATTATGTGATCCTACGCAAGACCACAGAAACGAGGACTCAACTACCACTTCTGTTAAGTCCTGCAGTTTCATTACGGGTAGACGTAGGGCAGATTTGAGGAGTTGGTCAGTCGACGAAGTACCTACATCACTGCGCCTCTCCAACTCACACATAAAACTCTGTAGTCCATGCAAATCGCGCATCGACAACAACTTCATATTCGCCGCCGGAGAGATGATGAGACAGGAGACATGTTTGAACGCAGGCATGCAGACAATGCTATGCGAGCGATCAAGCCAAAGGCGCTCTTGTTCTTCGTAGTATTGAGTAGCTCGATAAACTGAGGGGTATAAAGACGTTAAACGACTCCTCCACAGCATTTTGCAGAGGTGTTCGTCAAACCATTTCAAATGACTGATATGTTGACAAAGCATTTGTAGTTCTCTCTCTTCAGGAAAAAGACAGTTCCATTGTGGGATTTTTGCACATTGACTCGATTGGCGAGCATCTTCGAGAACTTTTCGGTGTCTTGGCAATGCTCCTAAGGGTTGGTCGCCAAATTCCATCAATTTAATCTAAGCGTAACAGTTCACGGGAAGTAGATAATGCAATTGGAACAAATGACACTAGACTAGACACAGACGACTTACTCTTATTGCCACTGCAAACGCGTGGGAGTGTGTGCAGCCTATTCGATTACAAATTACCTCCAATCTGGTTGAACACAGATGATCGTGTGAAGAGGTGAATTCGGATGAGATGAGGCAAGCGCCAGTTTGTGGATAGGTGAAATCGCGGAACATCTTGAGTAAAATGCAAAACATACTTCTACCTGTTCAGCTGCAATGCACTGAGGAGTATCTTTCCAGCCAAACAGCAAAGATGAGCGGAAGCGAAATAGACTGGATAACAGAGCCAACCGAATGCTCCCAATGCCGACACCAGACAACTCTGATTTGAATACACCC